AAAATAGTATTCAAGGGTCACTAGCAGTCTAACATTCTTAAGGTCAGGTATTGAGCTGTAAAACCTTTATATTCAGCACAAAACTTAAAGAGGAACTTTTAAAGAAATGTCCCAAAGACTGTTGAATGAATTAATGACTAAAAGAAGACAACTGGGTAGAGAGAAGAAAGGTGAGTTAAATGTGTGAACATTTAGCTAGCATCAGAAATGTATCAGAATATGGGTTTGTTTCCAGTTAAACTTCTCATTGTAATGATGTGTCAAAACAACCAACTTAACTGACAGTATCCTGTATAATACAAAATACTACAATGCTTGCCCAGAAGATAAAAACATTCAATTAAGGTAATCTCTTCCTACAGGTTGTATCTTTCTTTTTCTCATTCATTGGTCACTCCAGGACCAGGAATTCCCCAGGACAAGGATCGTTTTGGGGTATCATTTTATTCCAGAGCACTGCATGTAGGAATTGCTCAATAAATATGTAGTGAATTGAAAGGTATAAATAAAAAGAAAGAGCACTCAATGCTAGTGAAAAGGGGAAAAATTAAATAATAAGAAACTCTTTGGGATGCAGTATAATATGGGAGTCAGGTGCACAGGAAGCAGACTGCTCTGCCACTTACAGTCACTGTGACCAGACTGTGTGACCAATACACACATGAAATAGAACAATGCTCCCTATTTCCTTTCGATGTTTCCTCTCACACGGAGGCTGTTCCATTGGCCTTACATACTTGACCTCTGCTTGGTCCCTCCCTCCCTCCTCCTCAGGGGAGGGGAATATTGTCCGAGTGTTACTGAAATTGCTGAGTTTATAAACTTATTTAAAAATATGAGTTGTGGATATGGAGTAACACAGATGAGCTATCAAGCCAGTTTACCAATCATTAATTTTGACTATCTTCTAATGAAAGTTTAATGAAGCAAAAAGTCAAATAGTTGACATAAATGTGCTGGAAGAGATATAACAGTGTGGTTTAGGGAACAGTAAAGGAAGTTACAAAACATTACTGAACCCATTGCTAATGTGCTTAGATTGTTGAATTCCTGCGGTGGCCACATAACAAACCAGCTGTCTGAATTAAAATAAGATGCCAGGGGCTCTGTTACAGTAAACGTGGTTGGCATAGCTTGAATACGTGGGAAAAGAGGTGATTATTCAAACTCCTCTCAGAAATTACCCTAAATTCATGTCACAGGTAGTCATTGTATGGAAATTTCTCCCAGTCGTTTATAGTGTCCAATTTCCAATGAAATCTGAATAAAATTGCAATGGGATGTGGAAAACACAGCAAAACACCACCGAAATTTTAAAAGGTGGCTATGCACGGCTTACATTTTACGTAACTGCGGAAGTTTCTTGAAGATTCCTGTAGCTTCCAACACTGTGAATTCATTATTATTGAGACGCCTCAGAAAAAAAGAAACAAAAGTTTCATTACCAACAGTCAGGAAGGGATTAAGTTTTACTTCTCATAACAGAATTGTAAGATCACTTAATGATTATTCTAAAGTAAAATATAGAATCCATGCCATGGAATGTCTGTGCAAGTATCAATTTTTCCCCATTTCACTCAAATTTCGAAGATCAAAATAAAATATGAAGAAGCATACAGTAAGAAAAACCAATGATCAAAAATCAAAACCAGCTCTCAGTCAGTAATTTATAGAATAAACTTTCTCAAACTTTTTTCCATTATTGTCCTTCCTCCCCAAAAGTATTTTTCTCCCAAAAAGCATTTTAAACCATTTTTCTTAATCACTTGCTGCATATATTTTTTATTAATGAGTTTTTTGATATGCAGTTTATATGCCATAAAATTCACTCTTTTCAGTGTACAATTTAGGGGTTTTAGTGTATTCACGAATTTGTGCAACTATTTTTGCTACCTAATTCCAGAATATATCCATCACCCAGAAGAAAAATCTCATACCCATCAGAAGTCACTCTCAATTTGCATCCCTCCCTGCCTCAGTCCTTGGCAATCACTAATTTACTTTCTGTCTCTATGGAGTTTCCTATTCTGGATGTTTCATATAAATGAACTCATAAAAAGTGTGGCTTTTTTCACTTTGTATAATGTTTACAAAATTCATCTATGTTTAGCATACATCAGCACTTCATTCTTTTTTATGGCCGAATAATATTCCAATATATGGACATATCAATTTTGTTTATCCCTGTATCAGTTGATGGATATTTGGGTTGTTTCCACTTATTTTGATTATCATGAACAGTGCTGCTACTAACATTGGCATGGAAGTTTTTGTATGGATATATGTTTTCGATTCCTTTGGATATTTACACTGGTGTGAAATTGCTGGGTTACATAGTAAAACTATATTTAGCAATTCGAGGAATAGCCAAACTGTTTTCCAAAGATGCTGTGTCATTTTATATTCCCCCAGCAATGTATGAAGAGTCCAATTTCTCTCACCTGTTATTTTCTTTTTTTGCTTTTATGGCCATTCTATGGGATGTGTTACCTCAATTGTGGTTTTGATTTATGGTTCCCTAATGCTTGTTGATACAAAACATTTTTTTAGGTGCTTCTTGGTCATTTGTATTTCTTCTTTGGGGAAATGTGCACACAAATAATTTGAGCACTTTCTAATTGGGTAATATACCTTTTTATTGTTGAGTTGTAATAGCTCTTTATATATTCTGGAAAGAAGTCCCCTATCAGATAGATACATGATTTGAAAATATTTTCTTCCCAGTACTTATTTTTAAATGTATAATTTAAAAAGCTCTTAATTTCTTAAAATGCACAAAACTTTGCTGAATAATACATTAGATGTTAGTGTTACAATTCTTAATTGACAAGTAAGTCTATTTAAGCCGTTATCATGTAGGAAGATAAAATTACTGTCTGTAATAATATTGGAAATATACACAACTCCCTACATGACCATAAAAATAGAGTTGAGGGCTTTTACTGCATGGTCTCCATACATTTCCAAAAATCCAGGAGCTATGGAACAGATTAAAAAACTAACAGGAATAAAAAAAATGTATCACTACAGCCTCAGGGTAGTATCTGTCATCCTTTTGAAAGCATTACATTATTTTTAATTACTCAAATTGCTTAGAATTCATTAAGTAACAGGCATGAGTACAGACACAGTGGGAGATAAACTATAAAACACAATCCCTGTCATCAAGAAGCTATAACCGAGTTGAAGACAAAAGGATTATGCACGTAGAAAAGGACAACCAGCTTTGCAAAGAGGTGAGTGGCAAATACCAGGCGGTGCTATACATAAACGTTGCTAAGATGTCCCCAAAACAATGAGATGTCACCAGGTTTTTCTTCAATTTTTAGAACACTAGCATTAGTTTTATAAATAAAGTCACAAAAGGCAAACCATACATGGCACAGGATCTATAGATGATTCAACAAACATATTTTAGCACCTAGGATGTGCTAGGTCCCAGTTTGGGTTGTAAATATAAATCTAGTCTCATTGTCCTTTTGGTTTTTCTGCTATGCTATCCATTTCTCAGAAAAAAAAAACCAAACCAAAACAAACAAACAAACAAACAAAACCTACCCTCTTTGCTTTAATAGTTGATAATCACTGAATCCTTCCACCTTGAGGACAGTGAAGTAATAAAGCAGATAAAGCCTCTCTGATTGAATTAATAATTTACAGAGATTCAAAATGGTGACTCCTAAAGTACTCTATTTGGTTGCTATGAAAGACTATATGCCTTAGAAATCTATTACATCTTTAGAAATGGGTATGGGCATAAATAATAACCAAGAAACAAACATCAAATGAATGCTCTTACTATTAGCATTATTAAGAGCTAGCTGAATTTTTGAGAAGTAAATTAATTTCTGGAGTTGTATCTTGGGCCAGAAAGATGAAGTCAGGTAGCTTCTAATCTATCTTTGTACAAAGAAGAGATATGGCCATGTGTGTTCATTAAAATCAATGTAATTATCAAGAATAAAAGAGCAAGACAAAAATTCCATGGCTTTGATGCATTCCTTCCCTCCCTGCCAGCCTGGATTTTGTTAGGAGATGAACTCACAGCTCTGCAGTGTACTGGGGAATGTGGTCTGGGATTTTGGTGAGCTTCTGATTGGAACAGTCTACAGTGGTCCCTTCACAGCGGCACTTCTCAGGACAAGCCAAATCTGCAAAGCAGTCCCCACTTAATTTTGATCGATAATCTTCTGTGCCTATTGAGGATTCAAGCCAAAAGAAAAAAAAAAAAAGAAGATACTTAGTCTAAAGGTTAGAATATTTGTTAATCTGTAGGAAGAAAAATAGTAAGATAACTATAGATTATGCAGCAGGGAGACAACTTAGGGAATTTTTGGTCAATGGATGTCAGGAGAGGGTTAAAAACAAGGGCTTGGAATTTGCTGGAAAAAAGAGTAACCAGATTCACAGGACAGGAAAACATTAATAGAGATGAGCTTTTCACAGCTGTACTTTCTGCTGATCCAGTTATGAGCCATTCTAGCCTATTTGACAGCTAATCATACAATGGCTATTAATTGTTAAAAAGTGTGTTTTTTCTCTGAGTCAAGAATTTATAATGTATCCAGTAATAAACATATTCCTATATATCATTTTAAATTAGGGCTTTCAAGGCAAATAGATGTACTCAGGTTTTTAAATTTTCTATGGTCTTTTATTATTCTCTCCCTCTCACATAATCTTCAGAAATGCCTAAAAAGCCCTCTTTTTTCATTTTGATTTTATAAAAAGAGACCAGTAAATCCTGATTTAAGCCTCAGCAGCTTGTCATGCTGTAGAAAGCTGCGTGACGTTCCATGGTGCTTGACGGAACCATGTTTTACTCATACCTGGCAACCACATGGTTAGATCAAGCACAACAGAAAATCTCGCTACATAATCACTACACCATCCACTAGGCCAAGGGTAAGACTGAGAGGAAAGATGAAGGGAAGCAGGAGAAAAAAAGCTACAGACGTTCTGGAAACGTAATACTGTTTACATGACATGCATTCTTCCCGCAGAATGTTTATGACCATAGTAAGAGTATTACTACCGCGGATTTCCTGGAAACACAAAGAAGGGGGCTACACTGAGAGGCGCCTCCATTGTTCCTCAGAACTGCAGAATGGAAACAACAGCTTTCGGGAACAACATCCAGGAAGAAGTTGAAGGTGAGCTACAAGGACAACAGAGAAGCTCAAAAGACCTGTGGTTTCTTCTTGGGGGGAAAAAAGGTGCAAAAGACCGAGACGAGAAGAAGGTACATTGGGATTGAAAAGGGAGGGCATTATGTTTCAGATCAGACACTTTTACTTACAGCCAAAATGGTGAATTCCTGCAAAAGTAAAGATCACCAAGAAGGAAAGAGAGAGTAATCCCAGTTAAGATTAATAAACACAGACATAAAACTAGCTAAGGTCTCTTCCTTCTTTCCTTGCTATGGCAATTAGAGGGGAAAAGGCATAGTATGACAGCAATCGTCATGCTTTGCAAGCTTTTGTAGTCATTTTTTGAAGCCGGGTGGTCTTACAGGAAAAGCAATGGCATACAAGATGCACAGCTCAAGTTAGGTTCTTGTCAGTTCCTTTAAATGGTGAACTCTCTGCAAGATAGATGTTCTTTTGAGTTATCACTCTAGTATCTAGAATGCCATATAGAATGACGGTAGGCAGGTCAACAGGCAAACTTAAGTGAAAAACGAATCATGGAGACCTTTACGGACAAATCCATCTGGATTAATCCTTAGGTTGCAGCTTGCATGCTTTCTAATGATTTTTCCAACTTATAAATAATGTAGCTTAGTGGAAATGAAATGAGAATCTCATCAGATGGCAAAGCTGAATACAATCGTTTCATTAGATTTGGCAATGAATGCCAAGGCATCTATTGAGGAGTCCTTGTAATGTAGTTTAGGCTTTCGTTTTAAAACTGAAATGAAGAAGTACTGGGGACAGGGTCTACATGACAGGTATTCTGGGCATCTTACATTTAAAATAATCTGCATTCAATGCAATGACAATATTGTTTACTTTATGGAGACTGTTTAGGTAGGCTAATATTTTAGTTGAAATTCATGAAAAAAAGAAGAAAAGGCTCCAAGAAATCTTCTGAGTCCTGGCTTCGATTATTATGGCTTTAATGCAAAATGAATGATCAGAAATTGAAAATGAAGCTAAGATATCACATATAAAATGTATTTCCAAGAAAGCCTATTTTGACTGCCGTCAATAAATAGGCAAAACTGTATCAGAATTTATGAAAACAATCTGACTTTGGGTCTTTAATTGGTGAACCAGAAATATTAATTTCTAAATTATTAATAAAGTAGAATTAAATGTAATCAGTTGAAGAATTTGGTTGCAATTATATTAGCTGGAATAATTTGAGGACTTAAGTCATATTAATGTTTTATCCTATAGGTGTTCTGGTGTTTAGAGTATGGCTTTTTCCCGGTAAGTAATAGCTATCAGATGACTTTCTGCTTAACAGTAAGGAAAAAATAATGAATTTTAAAGATTGCCAATGAAGGCCAATCAACTTCTTTCCAACATGTCTTATGTAGTCAGAGTAGTATATGCAATACTACTGATCACTCAAGCTCAAAATAAGTAATAAAACAAAATCTGTTAAATGCACAAAATTATTCAAATTATAATTCAATAATGGCAAATATCACATATCTCCTTAAAATAAGGACCAAACCCAGAACTCTTCTTCTAAACATCAGTATGGTTTTTGCATACTAGCGCCATAAAAATATCTTCTTATTGGTAGCTGTTAAAATATACAATAGTCTAGAATATCTCCAGGAGATGGTAAATGTAGCCAATTAATTACTAACACGTATTTTTATATAATTACTTAAAACAAACAAGTCAAGAGGCATTTTACACAGTTGGCAGGCAAGGAAAAAAGAAGTAAAGAAACATATTTCAAAGAACTAGTTCCAGAATCATCAGCCTTGACAGTGTTAAGATTGTAGTGGTAAAACATTTCAATTACTTTTCTAAAACACATTTTATTCATCTGCCTAAATTATTCAAGGCACTTCGTGCCCATGAACACCTGATGCTTTCAGGATGTATGTCAATATTGTTATTTATGGAGTTACATTGTCACTCCTGGTATACAAGAAGTTTGTTAAGTTTTGATACGTCACAAACAATGTATAGTTGCATGTAAGCAAGCAGGAAGTTGCTTTTTTTGTATAAAAATGAGGCAACAGTAAGCCAAATAAAGCCAAAAGTAAGGCATTCATTTTTAGTGTAATGAGTCACATCAAAAAAGTGAATCTCATGACTGGAAAGAGAATTCTGTGTGTTTGTAACTGATTTCATGTAGAACTAGTTCTTTGACACCAGAAAGGTCTCTGTCTTTAAAACCAGCTCAGTAAGCTATATTTTAAAAACAGGTTGAAAGATCAGATATACTAAATAGGGAGAGAATATGATTTAAGTGGAAGACTATAGGTTCAAACATTTTAGCTACTGTGAGAAATTTTAGATAATGTGCCAAAGTGATAGAGAGAGAAAAAAAGATGGGGGTTTAATAATAATATAAGTTTAACATCAGAAGCTGCATGCAAAGGTCAGGTTTTCAGGAAACAGCTACAAGTGATCTATGCAGAAGTAAATCTATCTACAGGGTACCCATTGGACTTTCAAACGCATGCATATCAAAGTTTCAGAAGCTATATTTTATAAGGTGAGGAAAGGGTGTCTGTGGTTAGTCCTACTACCGAGCAAAACCTACCTGGAATGAAATACTGTTCTTTAGCTAAATAAAAAAAGAGAAAAAAAAAAAAATAGAAGATGCGCCTGAATGTCAGCAAGCAGAGATAGGAGTTATATTAGATTAAGAATGGACTAAAGGTACTATAGATAATTAAGTGAATTCTATTCCACAGCAGTGGCTGAGGTATAATATTGTACAGTGAGTAGTAAATGTATCTAGAACCATGGACAATAAACGGCTTCATTTTGATATTAGCTTTTTAGTATAATTAACTGCCGAATGTGAAATACCCCTGCAATAGTCAGATAACATACCACCCCAAATATTCAGAATGTGTTTTATCGTAAGAAAACAGAAAAGATTAGTCCAAAGCAAACAGTAAATGTCAATGCAGTAAGTCTTTTATTTAATAGTAATATAATGTATCTATATTTAGCTTTTCATAAATAAATATAATATTCCCCAAATGCTAAAAGATGGCCTTTTGGAGAAAAAATTATTCTCAGAGTCCTATTTAAAACAAGAGGATGAAAAATAAGAAAACACATTTGGTGCGAGAGACAAGGGATAGGGAAATCTTTCCCCCCCAATTGTGAGCCTGAGCAAACCACCTAAATAAGTCTCAGCTCCCTTTCTGAAGTAACGAGAACAAGATTGATTACCTCAAGTTTCTCAGTGGGGAATAATCCAACAAACATACAACTTGATAGACTTCAAAAGTATTCTGAGTTTGCTAAAAGGCCCCCATTAAGTTCAAACTCTAAAAACCCAGCATGAAGTATCCGGGCATCTTTTTTTCTTGGGTGCTGGCCTATTTGTTATGCTGGATATAGTGTTAAAAATATTACATATAGCAAGGACAGCTCTCTTTATTTGGTTCTTTATTCAGAGAGGAAAAAGAACTTTCTTCTCCAATGTCTGGTGATTTATCTGAAGGCCAGGTGGCTCCATAAGCACTGTTTTTGGTACCACAGGTGAAATGTCACATGAAGTAAGAGATTACCTGAACAACGGAATTTCTTGCTTTTGATTTGTCCTATTCTTTTGTTTGCCAGACGCCGGGGGCTAGTGCAGCGGGCGCCACTGGTCTCGATGGGGTTGATGTGGAGATAATCCGCCAGCCACTTGAGATGGCAGTCACAAATAAAGGGGTTCTGGGCCAAATGCCTTTCAGAAACACATACAGAACACTTTTATACTTGGCTTGCAATGAACTCAACTCTCAAATCCATAGCAGAGACAGCAGTCATAAGATTTGGCCCAAGCCATAGATACATACATGGTTTGAATGGCCCGGAGAGGTGAAAAGGTCCCCTTGGCAATGGTCTGAAGCTTGTTGTCGTACAAGGAGAGAAGGTTCAAGTTGTGCAGATCCTGAAAAGCATCTACCCGAAGGCAGTTTATCTTGTTGGCATTCAATAATCTGTTTGATCAAATAGTTGCAGAATTAAAGTGCAGCATCTTGTTAACCCACCTTCAAGATTCTGTGCTTCTTGAGAAATACAAAAAATCAAAAAATACACTTCTATGAACCTCAACACTGACATTTTAAGTGTAATAATTTAGGTACCACAGGTGGAAGATTTGGGGTTATACCAGATAAGTGAAGGACATGTAGTTTAATAAGTCTAGTGGTACTTTTACATTTATTCAACAGAGTTATGCAACATAGTCTCTGAAAGGTGGAGAGGTAACAAAGCAGACCTAACTTCTGCTGCTGAGGATGCCATAAGAAAACGGTCATAAAACATTAGTCTCTCTGGCTGCTCTGTGAAGAAGTTCGGTTTGTTTTCAAAAAAGTTTTTTAATGTTTTATTTATTTCTGAGAGAGAGAGAGAGAGAGCGAGAGAGCGCGCGAGCATGAGCAGGGGAGGGTCAGAGAGAGAGGGAGACACAGAATCCGAAGCAGGTTCCAGGCTCTGAGCTAGCTGTCAGCACAGAGCCCGACGCGGGGCTTGAACCCACGAACCGTGAGATCACGACCTGAACTGAAGTTGGACGCTTAACTGACTGAGCCACCCAGGCGCCCCAAGTTCGGTCTGCTTTCAAAGCAGAAGCCAGAGTGAGCCTTCTGAAACAAAGATCACTCTTCTCTCAATGCCAGGCAACAACTCTCAAATTGCTGTTAGCAAAACCAAAGTCCTCACAAATTGCCTTAATGTGCAATAGGACCATTTGCGCCCCCTTCTGACCTCTGTGACTTCCAAGTTCTTTCCCCCCGCTGCTTCAGCTCCAGCCACACAGGTCTCTATGTTGGGATGTCTGCTTGGAATGTTCTTTTCCCTGCTGTCTGACTACTCTGCCTCTTTGAGTCTGTTCCAAATCAGCCTACCCTGGCCACTCTCTTTAATACTGTCACCTGTGTTTGCCCCTCCTCAACCTCTTAACACACTGAACTTTTTTTTACTAGGATCTTTTTTTTCCTATTTTCTTAAGTGCATATTTCTTTCTGTTGTATATGATTTATTTGTTACACTATTTTTTGAAAATTTTTAATGTTTATTTATTTTAAGAGAGAGAGAGAGAGAATCCCAAGCAGGCTCCACGCTGTCAGCACAGAGCCCAACATGGATCTCGGTTCCAAGAACTGTGAGATCATGACCTGAGCCAAAATTAAAGAGTTGGATGTTTAACCAGCTGAGCCACCCAGGCACCTCTGTTATACTTGCTTTTTAGGTATTCCACATACAGGCAAGGCTGTGATTTCCTCATTGTGATTCTTATTCCTCCTCTTTTTACCCCCCTGTAGGATCTGACATTTTGGCCTCTGTGGTCCTCATAATATATTTTTTTTAAAAGCTTAGGAACTAGTCTGATGTGTGGACTGATAATCCCATCTCTTTACTCTGCCACAACACAGGTCACACTGACTGTGTTCCCCAATCTGTCAGCCAAACAAAGGAGTCAGAGAGCAGAAGGAAGGAGAATGACAAAGTAGGGAGCCTGGAAGACAACTGAAAAAGGTGCTGTTTTGAGCATTTTGTACTTGCTTTAAATTATGCAGTCTGAAAATTAGGAGGAAGAAATAGACACTACTTTCTTCTGTTCCTTCCGCTTACTTCTTTCCTCCAGTACCTCAACTGTTCAAGCAAATCTAAGATGCTTAACCAAGTTCTCAGCTACCATAAAGAGACCATCATGTTGGTTTAGTCCTGGCAAGCTTAAGGATAGGCCTTGAGCTAGAGATAAAATATTAGGCCAGGGGACAAAGATAGCTTAAAAATTATTTTTCATGTTTATTTTATTTTTTAGAGAGAGAGAGAGAGAGACAGAGCCTGAGCAGGGGAGGGGCAGAGAAAGATGGAGACACAGAATATGAAGCAGGCTCCAGGCTCTGAGCTGTCAGCACAGAGCTTGACACAGGGCTCGAACTTATGAACCGTGATATTATGACCTGAGCTGAAGCCGAATGCTTAACTGACTGAGCCAGCTAGGCTCCCCAAAGATAGCTTTTTAAGTAAGATTTTACCTACATACAGGTCCTGTAGTTTATTAACCTGTTTGCTACAAAAATGACCGGTAAGTGTGTGTGGAAGGAAAGAGAAGGTACTATTTTCAGTGCTGGTACTAAGCAGGCCAGTGATAAAAGGAGATCACAAGTAAATGGTAGAGAGAATAGTGCTAGGAGAACGTAGAAGAATGGCAGAGAAGCAATTAACATATAGGCAATACCTGACTAAAACAACAGCTATCCTTATAATGTATATTTGCTGAGCCCACCTCAAGGGTTAAAAATAATTTGAAACCCAAATTAAGACATTAGGTCACAAGAATCAGTATTTATCGTGACTTACTGGTCTCTTATAAAATCAGTTTATTGGGTTGTACAGTATTAAAGAGATTGAAATGAAAGACAGAGAGATACAGAGAGATAGAGAATGTAGCAAAATAGAGAGCACTCTACACAATAAGGGGTAAATATGATTTTGTTAACAATCTGCTTCATTTGTGTGTGTTGGGTGTGAAAACTGTGTTGTGATATAAAATATGTTTCTGGAAAATGATGAAAATTTAAAACCTGAAGACTAGGACATGAGGATGAATTAACACTTACCAAGTAAGGAAAAAGATCTACGTTTGGGATGTCTTGTGGGATTAGGAGCAAATTTATACAAGATTTACTTGGTACAAACCCTGACACCAACAAATGTATACAACTGACTGAGAAGATACCATTTTACCCTTAAGAATTTTAAGGTCAACTGGCTGTGAACCAGTTGAGAGTGCAGAGGACATCACACCATCTTTGTATTCACAGCAGGCAGGCCATCGTGTGCCCTGAGTGAGGAACTCTACATATGTTCAGTGACTGGAAGAGAGTTTGATAATCTGACACTAACCATCTTAATATTAGCACATTTCTTCCAATTTCCTTTTTATAGGAGCATTCATTTAAACACCTGTGCTCAGGTTGCATTTTATACACACATGTATAGTAAATTCTTTTGACACAAATGAATGGTAGCTATTGTCTAAGCAGAACAGGCTCTAACAGATGCAATCCAGTGATTTACAGATGATGTTCTCAGTAAACACCAAGTTGGGGTGCTACTGCTGAGTCCCGGTCTGCTCACCGCCCTTGGGCTGGGATGTGGTATTCCAGCACTGTTTCTCCTGCACACTCTTTGGACAAAGGTGGATAAACATATCACTATGTCACTCCCCTTCCCAATTGCTGTCAAATCAAAACAGAGAGATTCACAAAGGGCAGGGACTGCACAGGCTTTAAATGACAGAGTAGCCAGGAAGCATATATTTTTGACAAGGTGGAGAGACAGGTTTTGAGACAACTTCAAAGTGCTGTGCCTTCAAATAAATAACCACCATCAATGCTAGCTGAACCAGACTAATCTTTTCCGTTTCATTAAGCTATGTCATTTGGGGTCGAGTTTTTCTGAAGCCTCCATGAAAATATGAGATGGTATGCTGACTAAAATATAACATTTGGTTCAACAGATCAGAAACAAACAAATACTTACAGTAGCTGTAAGGAAAACAGTCCTTCAAATAAACTTTTTGGGAGTTCTGTGATTTTATTTCCATAGAGGACTCTGAAAAAACATGAAGAAAAAAATCAGACATCAGTCCAGCATAACAAATTGACCCAACATATATGTATTCAGGCATACAGAAGGGTAGTAAGTCTTCTATACATCATAAATTAGGCTACAGTTTAGTGAGCAAACTTCAATTTGCAAATGTGTTTTCTTCTGATTACAGATCAGATATATACATATAATAGTTCAGAAAACACCGAAAAACAAAGAACATTAACAAGAATGAGCTCATTTCATAATTTATTGCCTTTTCATAGAAATGTCCGCTGTCATGTTTTTCAACACACACACACAGTATTGCATACGGAAGTAAGAAAGGAGAACACTAAATGTGGAATCGATTGCTCATTAAAGGAAGGAATTTTAGGCTTATCATACTAGTAAAACGTGAAAGGACTATACATAGAGGTAAGGTTTTTGTTACATGATGTCTATGCTTGGGAAGTGGAAGATATGGGAAGAAAGTGATCACTACTGTGAATACAGAAAATTTTTTGAAATGTACGTTTCTCCAAAAACATGAACAGGAATGTATCCTCATGGTGTCCAACTCTGATCAGCCACCATGTGCAACCACCCAGTGTGAGAACCATGGTTTAGTCCCTTCAGTACACCTGGCGCCAGCCATTGAATTGGGTACGTAGTGACATTCTAACATTGGATTGATTAGTGATCATTGTTTGATGAGTGAACTCAAGAAATAAATTAGCCAGCAGACAAATTAAAGAATAACTGATAAAAATGGGTGAAATGAGGGGATTTCAACAACAAATGGGGAGAAAGGGGTTGACTCATCGTGCTAGCTATTAACAACAGGTCTGCTATGATGCCTATCTACCTTTTACCTCCAAAACTAGGGAAACACAATAATGAATGGGAAAAGATAATATTATATCCCTTAGGAGTACAATTTAGCAAGATATATCAAGAGTTGTAAAGACATTAATAAAAAATTTTACTTAGTATTACTTTTAGGGACTTAAGAAAATAATCATAGCGGGGCGCCTGGGTGGCTTAGTCGGTTAAGCGTCCGACTTTCTCTTAGGTCATGATCTCTTGGTTCGTGGGTTCGTGCCCCGCGTCTGGCTCTGTGCTGACTGCCAGCTCAGAGCCTGGAGCCTATTTCAGTCTGTGACTCCCTCTCTCTCTGGCCCTCCCCTGCTCTCTCTCTCTCTCTCTCTCTCTCTCTCCCCCCTAGGAAAAAATAATAATAATTAAAAAAAAAGAAAATAATCATAGCACAGTATTTTGTGTACAAAATGTTAATCATGGCATAACTTATAACAATGAAATCTAGAAACAAGTAAAATATTTCCAAATCCCCCCAAAAAGGTATTGGTTAAATGCATATTTCACGTTCACCAAAATCATATTTTGAGAAATATTTAATGACATGAAAGTGTTAATATTAAAGTTGAACAAAACAATAATGTAGTATATTACAGTATGATCTTAGCTTTTTAAGAAAAATACATACATGGGAGTGCCTGGGTGGCTCAGTCGGTTAAGCGTCCGACTTCGGCTCAGGTCATGATCACACGGTTTGGGGGTTCAAGCCCCACATCGGTCTCTGTGCTGACAGCTAGCTCAGAGCCTGGAGCCTGCTTCAGATTCTGTATCTCCCTCTCTTTCTGACCCTCCCCTGCTCACACTGTTTCTCTCTCTCAGAAATAAACAAAACATTTTAAAAAAAAAAGAAAGAAAAATACATACATGTATAGAAAGAAAAAAAAGGCAGAAAAATCTCTGGATGGCAGACAATTTGTCACTCAGAGGTGATTTTAATTTGCATCTATAGATTTTTTCTTTAATTTTTATATTCTCTACAATGATCTTATTTCTTCTGAAAACGAGAAAAATATTCTTTTGGAAAGGACATAAAGGATGTCACAATATGTAAAGGAAAAAGCTGAAATGAGAATCTAAATAATTAATAGGTTTGGCAGCAGTATATTATTTCTGTTTGAAATGGATGAAAATAACAATTCAAGAGAAACGAAAAATAGTGAGAGAAAAGCTGTTGTTTCCTTTTAAGATGTCAGTGAGAGGTGGGATGTATTACAATATAAGAAGTTCTCAAGGGAATAAATATACATGCCTGGACACCATACTGTGCAAGGAGACATTCTACTCATGTAGATCTTAGTGGTATAGTTATGTAATATAACATAAAATTTCATCTGTGCACAATATAGATGCTTTTAAAAAAGGTAAATCAATCAGAGAAAAACAATTTTTTAAAATCTAAGAAAAAACAGGGAATTCTGTATTGTTAGGGTCAAAGGGGTAAGGGAATTAAGAAAGGGTAAGGAAGAATAAATTCATTTTTTTAAGGTCAAGAATAAGGTAGAGAGGGCTTATGGGAACACACAGAAACAGATCAAGGTGGCACTGCTTCAGGACATTCAATGAAATATCAGTCAACTGACGGAATTTAACAAGAGAGATCATATACTTATTATGTGTCAGGAACTTTACTAGGTTCTAAGCTTGGTGTCCAATTAAACTGAATGCAACTGTTATTTGTTGAATGTTCATTACTTGTCCTTGCTCCAGAATAATACAATGGAAGTGAGCCAAGTATTTCAAAGAGCAACTCAAAACAGCAGTTTTGAATACTGAAGGAGATTAATATTTTGAACCCACTGAAATATAAAAAGGAAATAGGATGCGTATAAATTGTTGGCATCCATATAAAAATTAAGGAGTAAGTTATGAAACTAGAAATCAACTATTAGCACCTGGAAGCACCTGGTTGACTCAGTTGGTTAAGTGTCTGACTCTTGATTTTAGCTCAGATCATGATCTCACAATTCATAAGACAAAGCCCCACATTGGGCTCTGTGCTGTCAGCATGGATTGGGATTCTCTCTCATCCTCTCTCTCCCCACCTCCCAACTAATGCTCTCTCTCTCAAATCAATAAAAATTTTAAAAAAAGGAAAATATCTGGAAAGAACACAAATATATGGAGATAAAGTAACATGCTACTAAATAATGAGTAAGTCAACCAAGAAATCAAAGACAAAATTTAAAAAATACATGAAAACAAAATAAAATGAAAGCACAACAGTCCAAAATCTTTGGAATAGAGCAAAGCTATTCTAAGAGGGAGGTTGATGGCAACATAGGACTTACTCAAAAAGCAAGAAAAACTTCAAAGGAATAACCTAAACTTACACCTAAAGGAGCTAAAAAAGAAAAGCAAACAAACTCCAAACCAGTAGAAAAAAGAAAGAAAAGAACAGAGGAGAAATATATTAAATAGAAGCTGAATAACCAATAGAAGAGATCAATGAAATCAGGAGCTGCTTCTTTGAAGAGACCAACAAAATTGATAAACAGATTCATAAAAAAGGAGGACTCAAACAAAATCAGAAGGAAAAGAGGAGAAATGAAATCTGACAGAAATACAAAGGAATATGATGAAAAATTCTATATGAACAATTGGACAACCTAGAAGAAATGGATAAATTCTTAGAAATATATAACCTCTCAAAACTGAATCAGGGAGAAAGAGAAAATTTTTTTTTCTTTTCAAATTTTTATTTAAATTCTAGTTAGTTAACACACAGTGCAATAGCAATATTAGTTTCAGGAGTACAATTCAGTTGTTCATCAATTACATACAACTCATAGCACTCATCATAACAACTCCCATTAAAATTTTTTTAAATGTTTGGGGCGCCTGGGTGGCTTAGTCGGTTAAGCGTCCGACTTTTGCTTAGGTCATGATCTCACGATTCATGGGTTTGAGCCCCGCGTCGGGCTCTGTGCTGACTGCTAGCTCAGAGCCTGGAGCCTGTTTCAGAGTCTGTGACTCCCTCTCTCTCTGACCCTCCCCTGCTCACGCTGTCTCTCTCTCTCTCTCCTAGAAATAAATAAAACATTAAAAAAATTTTTATTTTTAAATTTTTTAAAAATGTTTTTAATGTATTTTTGAGAGGCAAAGAGATAGAACATGAGTGGGGGAGGCGCAGAGAGAAAGACACAGAATCTGAAGCAGGCTACAGGCTCTGAACTGTGAGCACAAAGCCTGACACAAAGCTTAAACTCCCAAACTCTGAGATCATGACCTGAGCTGAAGTTGGATGCATAGCTGATTGAGCCACCCAGGCGGCCTAACAACTGCCCTCCTTACTATCCATCACTGATCTAGCCCATCCCTCACTCACCTCCCTCCACCAACCTTCAGTTTGCTCTCTATCTTTATGAGTCTTTTATAGTTTGTTTTTGTCTCTCTTTTCCTTTCCCTCCTATATGCTCATCTGTTCTGTTTCTTAAATTCCACATAAGGTGCGGAGAAAGGGGAACAATCTTTCTGCTGGTGGGAATGCAAACTGGTGCAGCCACTCCGGAGAACAGTATGGAGGTTCCTCAAAAAGTTAAAAATAGAACTACCCTATGATTCAGCAATTGCACTAACAGGTACTTACTCAAAGGATACAAAAATACAGACTCAAGGGGGTACATGCACCCTGATGTTTATAGCAGCATTATTAACAGTAGCATTACTGATGAATATTAACTAACTGATGAATGGATAAATAAATGTGGTGTACATATACAATGGAATATTACTCAGCTATTAAAAAGAATGAAATCTCACTATTTGCAATGATATGGATAGAGCTAGAATGTATTATGTTAACTGAAGTAAGTTAGTCAGAGAAAGACAAATACCATATGATTTCACTCATCTGTAGAATTTAAGAAATAGAAAATGTGAATAGACTAATTAGCAGCAATGACATTGAATCATTAATAAAACAAAAACAAAAACAAAACAAAACAAAAACTCCCAACAAACAGAAGTCCAAAACCAGATGGCTTCACAGATGACTTCTAACAAACATTTAAAGAAGATTTAGTATGTATTCTTCTAAAACTATTCTAGAAAATAGAGGATGAAGGAAAGCTTCTAAATTCATTCTATGAAGCCAGCGTCACCTCGATACCAAAACCAGATAAGGACACTACAAAAAAAAGAGTATTACAAGGCCAATAACTCTGATAAACATGGATGCAAAAAATCCTCAACAAAGCATTAGCAAACTGAATCAAAAAATACATTAAAAATCATTTACCATGATCAAGTAGGATTTATTCTTGGGATGCAAAGGAGATCCAATATTTGCAAGTCAAATCAACACGATACAACACGTCAATAGGAGAAAGGATAAAAACCATACGATAATTTCAATAGATGCAGAAAAAGCATTTGACAAATTACAACATCCGTTCATGATAATAGCCCTCAACAAAGTAGAGTTAGAGGGAACATACTCTACATAATAAAGTCCATCTTGTAAAACCCACAGCTAACATCATCCTCAGTGCTGAAAAACTGAGATCCCTTCACCTAAGATATGGATGTCCACTCTCACCACTTTTATTCAGCATAGTACTTGAAGTCCTAGCCACAGCAGTCAGACAAGAAAAAGAAATAAAAAGCATCCAAATTGGTAAAGAAAAAGTAATTTTTTACTATGTGCAGATGACATATGTATAGGAAACTCTAAAGATTCTACCAAAAAACCTACTAAAACTGGTAAATGAATTCCATAAGGTCACAGGATACAAATTCAACATACAGAAATCTGTTGC